AAGTATACTTTTGGAGCGTTTGGGTATCCTTCCTTCTATTTTATAAAGCGCTAACTTTGTGTGTCGGTTTGTGTATCTGTGTGTGTGTGTGTGTGTGTGTATGTGTGTATGTGTGTCCGTCCGCAAAATGAAGTGAGTGAGAAGGAAGCTCATGGGATAAACAAACCGCTAACAAATCGGGTAGCTTACAGGATTTGAGATATCAATGTTTTGTAGCAGGATAGTTGTGATAACACTCTTAGGGCTATATAAACACCTGCTTAGCACACTTCCGTTCATTCCACATGGTGCTGCAGTGGCAGCTGGAGGGCAGTGGAGAGAGGAAGGGAGGATGAGGAAGGGAAGCGAAAAATCTACCGTCATATCATGATTGTGTCCCTTCTACTGTATGAAACACCATTGTGTTGCATACGCGTCACTTCCACGAGGTGTTGGTGTCACAGGAGGAAGGGACCATAGCGGAGGATAGAAAGCTTGCGCAGGAAAGGAAGGTCCCGGCGGTTGACGGGGGACTAATCTGGTTAATATAATGGGTTTTAAAAATTGCGAGTCTCTATGTATGACGCGTGGCAATGGAAACTGTCCCGGGTAATGAGTATGACCATCATGTGGGAAATAATTGTTTGAAGTCACCCAAATACTGACCTAATTTTGTGCAAATCTACTCTTACCAAGAATCAATCCGTGGTTCTTCGTGTCGGAGATTTTCACTTCAAATGCTCGAGGAAATACCAACTCAATCGCAACAATGACTAACTGGGCAGCAAACGTTGTGGTCGGCCTGACCTTCTTGCCAATTAATGTGAGTTTTTAGGCACGAACTTTGTTTTCTGGTGGTCTCGACAACTGGACTGTATTACGGTAGGTGGCCCACCTTTGGATTGCGTGATGAGTTGTTTTGGTCTCGAACTTCAGTAGGGCTGCTAAGACATTTGGTCGGGTAGTCATAAATTGTTTCGACTCTTTCAGGCTCTGAAGAAGGCGATCCCCGCCGAAAGTTCATTTATAAACCTCGTGAGGGTCAAGAAGATACCAACAGCACCGAGGTCGAGGTTCATCCCTCAAACATCCAAAAATTCACTAGCAGCCGAATTTGACAAATCCTTGCACACACCACAAGATACGAAGCCTCTCGTCCGATTTGGTAAGATTGACAATTGTCCTGTCGTAAAGGCTTATTACGGTCGAGAGCTAGATTGAATGGTAAATGAGGACAGAAAAATAGCTGAACGGTGCAAATCCACTATTTGCTCACACAGCAACATACAGTCTGTAACATCAAAATATCTCTAGCTCCGTCAAAGTACCTCTTTGATGCTTCCTCGGCTTATGCGTTATATAACGTGTTTATAGGAAGCATGTGTAGGGTTACACAATTAACGCTTGAACCCGTTTTCATGGATTTTTCACATGGCTTCTTTTTGGAAATTCCCTGCTTTCCAATGTTATCCAGAGATTGTACCCATTTACTATAATTTCTACCGTATTTTCTTCGAAAGTACGTAGAACATGAATGAAGTTCTACTCAAGTCTACTTACCTGCTCCTGCCGCGAACGATATAACGAAGAGCAGTACGAAGGCAATTGCACCGTAACTGGCCGCCTTATGGCCTTGCATACTCGCAGAAATACAAACCACTAACAGTACTGTCGAGAACCACATGCCAATCAGACCCACGATCAACAACATTCGACGTCCGGCTTTTGGATGATCTACCTGAAAGGTTGTTTGCGTTTCTTACGAGGTTTTCTTCTGCGCTTTTCATCTTACTCTCCTACCTTAACAGAAACTGATAGAGTAGAAAATGCGACTCAGACAGAGAAAATAATGACTGGTGAGCGGGGCG